TACCCTTGGTCGCTTAAGCGATTTGGTATCACTTAAGCGATCAAGTCCAAGGCAGAATCAAGATCTGCCCAGATGCACGATCGCTTAAGCGATTTACTGTCTCGCTTAAGCGATTCTTCGCTTTTACCCTTGGTCACTTAAGCAATTTGGTATCACTTAAGCCATCAAGTCCAAGGCAGAATCAAGATTTGTCCAGATACACCATCACTTAAGTGATTTATGGTCTCGCTTAAGCGATTCTTCGCTTTTACCCTTGGTCGCTTAAGCGATTTGGTATCGCTTAAGTGATCAAGTCCGAGGCAAAATCAAAATTTGCCCAGATGCACGATCGCTTAAGCGATTTATGATTTCGCTTAAGCAATTCTTTGCTTATACCCTTGGTCGCTTAAGCGATTTTGAATCGCTTAAGTGATCAAGTCCATGACAGTATAAACATCTACCCAGATGCATGATCGCTTAAATGATTTATTATCTCGCTTAAGTGATCCTTTATAGAAAACCCTTTGTCGCTTAAGCAATATATGTAGTTGCTTATATATCGGTTAAGCGATCATGGGCAATACATATTTTTTCCAGCTTTTCTCCTGAATTTTGACAAACTAAAATCACCAACACATATTAATTCCATATTTTCTCCTGAATTTGACAACTTAATTGCATCAACACATCAATGTCATGTAATAAGAATACTAAATAAAAACAAACTCAAAAGAGTGAGAGAAATACTGAATTGATTTTGTATTAATCTAAAATGTGTCAATTACATTAAATTACAACATTATATACAACAAATAAATCTCTTATATACACCCAAAACAAAAGCAGGGCTGGCCGCCTCCATCCCCCCTCTTCATCATTCTCTTTAGCCACTTCTCCATCCTCCAAAATTATCCAGCACACCTTCAGCATCAGCATCAGCACCACAACCCAAGTATCAACAGCCTGACTCCTAACAACACCAGCTGATCCAATTCAAGACAATCAAATTATTCAAGACAACCCAATAAGACAGCATCACATAAACTACAAAATTCTAAGTCCAACTTCCATACCTTTTGATGACAGCATCACCAATGACTTGGATTGGGTTATGGTCAGTCAAAAGGGATCCATATGCCCATAGAAGCACTCAACAGCCCAGCGCTCCAAACAGTTGCTTATTGTTTCATCATTCAAGTCATGCATCGGGGTGTTGGTCATGTCGAACTCAATAAATTTCAGTGCATATGCCTTGCAATCATCACTACAATAGGAGGAAGATATTAGTATTAGAATCAGCTTATAAAACAATTGTATTATGTAAGTTTTATACAAAATTTACCTTGAGTCATTTGTCGGGACGAGAAGGCGCTTGAGTGGCCACTTTCCTATCAATAATTCATCACCCAAGTGCTGAAACATCCCGCTATCGCACAACAGCCGTGGGAACAATACACACAATGGTTGCAACTCCGTCTCCAAGTGTCTCTCTCAACAAATACTGGGGTTGCAGTCAAGGATCTGCAGCAAGCCCTCCTCTAGTAGCGCGATGACGGTTATCTAATGCATATCCTTAATGTTCATGATATAGTATGCTCTTTTAACGTTTGCCCAACTGTTGCCATGTTTGGGCATTCCCCCCCGTACATACTGCATCATCCTATCATCAAACTAAAAATCATTAGAGACACCGTCGAAGTCATCTGTGGCCAATCTTTTCTGCTTGCCTCCCCTTGTTGCACCTCTACCAATGGCCTTTTTCATTAAACTGTCATATGTAGTTACTAGCGTTTGGCCAAAGGCTACATCGGTGATGGCACAGTGTAGATACAAAATATCACCATTACTGCTCTGTCATAGCCTCATAAGTGCCAATACCTCATCGATGTGCTGCATTAAATAAAAACAACATGATAAGTATATAATACCTCATGGAAAACATAAGCAAAAATGACTTACCAAGCTGTCGAGCCACCTGCCCATCGTCAACATCTTTTCAAACCACTCCTGAGGATAATCTCCTGTCTTGCACTTCACATGCCCATCACTTCCAAAATCATTGTAATAGGCATAGAAGAGTTTTTTCTTTTCCTCATCTATTGGCCTATACAAGTCGACCTTTAACTCCTCTGTTTTCACTTGCCCACTTCCTCCGCCTTCCTCCTCCATTTTCACTTCCCCACTTCCTTTGCGTCCCGCCTCACCCTCTTCAATTTTCACTTCCCCACTTCCTCTGCCTTCCTCATTACCCTCCTCCTCCATTTTTGCTTCTCCACTTTCACGGACTTCCTCATTTTTTTTCTTCGTTTTCCTCTTCTTTCCATACGTTATTGCCGTGTAAGGAGAAATTGCATGCTTACTCTTTCGGCTCTCTCTTTTATGCTCAGGTTGCACTTCAACCACTTTCAATACCCCACCAACTTCCTCCTCCACCATACCAACTTTCTCCGCCACCCTATCAACTTTCTCCTCCACCATTTTCATCCGCTCTTCCATCTTCTCAAACCTCTCATAAATGGTTGTTGTAAAACTCTCAAACAGACCGTTTATGAGGTCAACCACCTCATCCTCCCAACCTTGACGCCTCAGCAAAGCGGTACTTGTTGTACCGGTCTTCCAATTGGGTGGAAGCGTAAGAACCTCTTCATCCTCTTCCCTCCTACCGATTGGAGCTTCATCATCCTTGGCGTCAACAACATTCTCAAGTACTAGCCCTATAATTGCACTTACATGCGTGACCCCTTCTAGGTCCCGCATTAGGCGATATATTCCTTCATCTGCTTCATCCTTCAGTGCTTTGAACGATGTAACATACTCCTCTCCCACTTCACCCCCAGTAGTGGTGAGGAAGGGACGGACAACTCCCTGCAATAAGAAAAAAAAAATCAATCAAATCTAAGCCACATTTAAAAGCAAGCGCATATTCAAAAGATTAATCATTTAATCTTACCTGAGCCGCTTAAATTTCGATTTCTATTTTGTCGTAATCCCAATGGGTACACTTCTTGATATGCCACCGTAACATCCTAGGAAATTGCGATCGCTCATCCGAAGTCTTCATCCTCCCCCCGCCTTAGCCAGGACAGGGAATGCCTCATACATCCAAGCCTACATTGTAAAAAAATAGTTCATATCATAATTGAAACACATATAATACAAAAAATATAACAAAAAGCTATTAATATTTACCTGCATTGCCCATGGGAAGCCAAACAAATTGTACATGCTCGGTCTATTCTTCTCGACATATTGGCGTTGCTTTAATATAATGTCTTTTCCTTATAGGGAGTTCATGGTTAGCTGAAATGATAGTCGTCCCCATGGATAAGCATTAAAGAAGTCCATGTTGCTTGCAAACTTCACCCAATCCATATTAACAGCTTTTGTTGAGTCATAGTCATTAGGATCGAATGCACGAACTATACTAGGCACATCTTGAACCTCTCTGAAGAGTTATACCCACCTTCTTCTAACCTTTCCTCTAAATTGCGTCTCGTAATAAACGTCTTCCCCCCAAAACCTTTTTAGCCAAGTTATCGGTTGCCCTACTCTTCTTTATTCTCTCTTGCTCTGCCGCATCTAGAAATGCCCCAGATCTTAATCTTGTCATCAGGGCATATTCTATCATCCCAAAACGCAGTGGCTTTCCATCCACCACGAACCACATTTCTTTTTTTTCTTTTTTTTCTTTTTGGCTTTTAACTGAGTGCAACAATATATAATGCACTTCCCCCATAACGCCTTTTTTCCAATTTTTTTCGATGTTCACAAAATGACCGAAACAACTCTCTTTGAATCGGTCTATACCCTTCTTCTGTTCCCGTAAAATCTTCATTATTCTCGTAAAAACTTGCCAACTCGACCTAACTGTCACCGTTACGAGGAAGTACTATACCTTATCGCTTACAACCTCCAACCCATAGTCTTTATAATTTATGCTTTGGAAAATTTGCATAATCGATGTAAACTAAACATAAAAAAAAAAAAAAAAAAAACACAATAGGCTGTCAATTTGGGGGATATGGGCTTCGAGGGCATCGGGGAGTGGGTGTTTTTGGCCTCGAGAGGACCAGGGAAGCAAATGCACTACAAAGGCTGTTGTGGTAGGTTCCATGAGGTTGGAGGGCTGAGGATGGCAGGAGGTGGCAGAATAGGGGGGCTGCCTTGCATATTGCAGGGCTGGCCACGCACAGCGCGCGCAGCCCTATTCCGCCACCTCCTGCCATCCCCAGCCCACCAACCTCCCACAAACAACCTCCCTACGGCCTCCCTTGCCTTCCCTCATCCTTTGGAACCCAAACAAAGCCACTCCCCCAATGCTCGCCAACTACTCGACAAAACGCCACAACCACCATAACAATAAAACCAACTACATCTCCCCCAAATTCGCACAAATCAATCAAATTTCTCATCCAATTCAAAAAAACAAGTAAAAAATGTACCATTTCTTCACCAGCGTCCTCCTCTTCGCCTGAATTCTCGCCAACGTCCTCTTCAGAACCGTTTTCCGATTCTTCTCTCTATTCTTGTGCTGTTGCCATCTCATCTGCCTCTAGACCACCTTCACTCATCGAATGATCCATCGGAGCGTCTTCTTCAACAGCCTTTGAACTACTGCCGCCACCAGAGTCTAGGATTTGAAATGGGGTTGAGTTTCCCTCTTCTTTCTGAATATCAACCATAATTTTGTGTAAGAAAGCTTTAAGATCAAATATTTACCGGAATAAGGCACTTTCATCGTCGAAAATGGCAGAGAAATCAAAGGTGTTCGTCCGTCCTTTTTTGGGTATTTGGGTCGATTAAGCAATTTTAAAGGGTAGAGGTCGTTTTTAATTTTTAAAATTTAAACAAAGTTCCATTAATTATAATATTACCCACATATGTTTAAATCCTTTCAGTTTAACCCATTTTACATGTTTAATGAATCATAAGTGTGCCACGTCAGTTTTTCTAAATTAAAAAAAAAAAAATTGAAAAATATTTTAAGATCATTTTTTTTAATGAAAACTTGGGAGGTCCAAGGAGTTAAATTTTCTCGTTAAATTTCCTCCAGAAAGAAGCACCTCTGGTTGATTGTCATAAATTATTGTTTCAACATAAACCCACTTGAGGTTTAATAAATTAAGAACGTTACCATTATATGAAATAACAACACAATGCAATACGTCATCCCATACTACCACGTTCCCAAATGAAATATACTGGATGCTACCTCAGCGAACTTTGGTCTTCTTCTGGCCTTGTAGCTGAACAGCTGAACATATCTTTTTCCAACACCGGATACATATGAGTGAAGGTATTACAACCCACGAGGCATTGGCAGCAACGTAGTATGCATAGTAGTAATATGGGCTTGCAGCAAATTTATCGCCTTCCAAGTAAGAAGTTATGAAGTATACAGCAGTACCGTAGAGCTGGCCAAGAGAAATTGCAAGTTGAAGTATGTAGCTGTATGACTTTCCTTTAGCTATAGCAATCCTGCAGAAATCAGTTACCATTAGGACCATCATTCATACGGAATTTCAGGAAATAAAATCGGATTTTAGACTAGCGAAATAGAATATGAAATTATCATTTTGTGAAGTCAAGTGAAGTCTTACACTGCTAGAAGACTAGCAGGGCCCTCCAGAACTGCAGTTAGTCCTTCAACAGCAACAACTCCTGCATCTCTTGCCGCATATCTTGAATCACCTTTGCTGTATTCTTTCCCTGCCAGCTTTCATATATGAGTATCATCCACTAAAGGACTTATGGTTCAAGAGCAATCTTAACTGATTTTATGCCAATTGTCATAGATGAAAAGAAAGAAATGACTTACAAACTTCAGCCAAATAACATCCAGATTTGTCCTTATAAAATTCTGGAGAGAAAGCAAAATAACCCTCAAGAATCAAGTGGGTAAGGCCGGTGAAAGCCCACCAGCACATGAGCCATCTGTCAATCTTTGATATTTTGGATGACCTCCCTGGTACCAAAAAAAAAAGATGTCTAAAGAGTTAAGAGCTTGAAAACCAAACTATTTCTCAGAATGTCAAATTAGTGAACAAATGGGCAACCAAAAACACAAAAAACGAAGGAAAGATAATCCTTCATTAGCATAGGCATTAAGAGTGACAACAATTACAAAAAACATGAAAATTATAGCAAAGCTTCATCAAACCACTTTGACGTACAATCCAAATTCCTTTTCCCCTTGAAAATAAGGATATTGCAAACTTTTGAGAAAAGCATTTGGTTGAGAGTCTATAAAATAGTTTTTGGATACAATTCTTGAACCCATTTTAAAGTTGAAAACCATTAAGAAAATGATGTCTATTATTTTTCATGAGATTGGGTCTAAATTATACCCAAAATTAAACAGTATCTGACAAATCACAAAGCAAACTTCACTAGATTTTAGATGAAAAACCATCACTCCTATTTGTGATAGTCAACTAGAAAAGATTGCCATAACTCACAACAAGAAGGCATTACATTAGGGACCATTGCATGATATTGTTACAATACAATGTCACTGAATAAGTATAAACAACTTTAATACATAAATTTTAATACCTTCATCAACTTCTAAAACCTTTTTCAAAAACCAGCAGGCATCATCATCTTTAATAGATAGATCATTCTATCCTACTGGCTTGAAAAGAACATTATCGAACCAGCTAACAACAACTGTCTGACAAAACTTAACGATTACATGTTCCTTGATACAAAATTCGCATTACATTACCAACGGTCATCCTTCTGTGCTAGACCATTAAAAATATCAAAACAGGTGTTGCATGTGCAGACCATAGTATTATTGAGCCAATTTTCTTAATTCTTTCAACTTACATATTTAAGTCAAACCCATCCGTGCCCTCAAGCACGATTCAATCGCAAGATCTCTTGTACAATGCCAAGAGATACAACTAACTAAATATTACATTACCAGAACAAGTCATTCCCTCCAACTTTCTTTTTTCGATTTTCTTCTCAAACTTACAAATTTAAATCAAATCCCTCCGCCTGGTGCTAGCACAATCCAATGCCAACTAGACCATTAACGATACCAAAACAGGTAATGTCCGGCCGGACAATAATATTATAGAGCCAAGTTCCCTAATTGTTTCAAACTTACAAGTTTAAGCCAAACCTATCCAAGCTCGCTCGAGAACAATTCAATCTCAAGACCTCTTGTAGAACTCCAAAAGATACAACCAACTAAATATTACATTACCAGAAGAGGTCATTCCCTCCAACTTTCTTTCAATTTTTTCAAACTTAAGAATTTAATCAAATCCCTCCCGGCCAAGTGCTAGGACATTCAATTTCAAGACCTCCCGTACAACTCCAACAGATCCAAACCAACTGAAGTAGCCACTTAATTATTTATTCCAATCCCTTAACAGATTTGAAAACGGAGCCTAAAATCAAACAACTCAAGTGTATAAAAAGTTCAAAACATAATTATCATTTAACGAAATTTCAAGGCCAAAATAAAAAATCTAAGAACAGTAGCAAGTAAAAAGAGAGAGGAGGCAAACCAGAGAGAACCCAGATGAGGAAAACGACAAGGAGGGAGGCGATGCCATAGACAGCAAGAATGGTGGACTGAGAGAGGAAGTTGGGTACGTAATCTTCAAGATTCAGATCTCTGGGCGTATAGGGATGGCTCATTTTTGGCGTTTTTCAAAGTGAAATTTTACTCCACTTTGGTTCACCAATTTTTACTGTATTTATACTCACAACACATCTGAGCCCATGATGCCGACGGCCCCGCCGGATTTTTGCCTAACAATAATATTACACTTCTCTCTCACAAACTTATATAATAAAACATAATCAGGTGAAAGTTTATTTTAAATGAATAAGGTAGTTGACAAACACTTCTCATAAATGCTAATGTGGTAACTCACATTTGGTCAAGCGAGACTCATTGTTAGATAGACAGAATTCATTGCAAGTTGACAAATTATAAATTGATATGTCGCGTTTGTGAGAGAAAGTTAGTGTTAGGACCAAATATCGTCTTGAACTTGACGAGGCTCAATAACGAAATAAACATATCATGGCCCAAAGCCTCAACCCAATCCCGATTGGGCCTACGCTTAAAATCATCTTGTGACCTACCCACTCTATAAGTTGGGCTATCCTATAAGTTAAGCTAAACTAGGTTTCAGTCCATTAGCCTACAACAGTCTATAAATAGGAAATCAGAATCTCATTCTATTTCCTCTTCTACTAAGATTTCAAATCTAACTTAAACTATTAAACTTGATTTGATAAGGTCAATAAATCATATCACTTTCAGATTATCTCCCAAAATAGGACTTAGTGCCCTACTAAGATTCCAAATCTTATTTAAACTATTAAACTTAATCTGATAAGGTCAAAAAATCATATGTCTTTCATGATAGGGATTGTCTCCCAAAATAGGACTTAGTGTCCTACTAAGATTCCAAATCTTATTTAAACTATTAAACTTAATCTGATGAAGTTAATAAATCATATGTCTTTCTTGATAGGGATTATCTGCCAAAAAAGAGGACTCAATGTCCTACTAGGATTCTAACCCCTTGGGTTCACTATAAAAACAGAGGCTTGCCCTCTCATCAAGGGACAATCTCCCGTAGTCAATTTACACTACTTAAAACCATCTATTTGCTCCCAATAACCCGACGCCTCCGCCGTAGTCCTAGCTTCCAGTAAGACTCTTAGTAATTTTTCATCTCCTTAATTCTTATCAAATAATCTCTTTCAGCCTTGCTGACTTGAGCGTCGGAGTGCTTACTCCAAACACCACCTTGGTGTTTCCGGAAGCTTCACACTTGCCCTTTCATGTGTGCAGGTCTAAAGGATTGTCAGTGGCCTCAACCTCACGGGATCAAACCCTATTTTCATGACGGTTGATTTTTTGCATCTATAGTTAGTGAGAAGGGTTTGTGAGTGTAATATTACTTAGTTCTTCAACGTGACAGTTGATGATACAAGATGCAGTTTCAAATTGGGCAATGTTACCTAAAAGGCTAAGACAGTAAACTTAAATATGATTAAGAGCTTTTGGTTGAGAGAATGTTGTATTATTTGAATATTATATTAATGAGAAAAACATTACATTATTGGAAATGTTATATTAAATATGTTTGGTTAGATTGAAATAAATTGATGGGTACAAATAATTAATATGTTTGATTGAAAGGAATAAAAGAATTATGAGAGAAGTTTTTTATTAAATTACCTTTCTTTTTAATATTATATTATGGTATTAATAATATTATTATATTATATTCATATTATTAGTAATGTTCTTGTTAATAAATTATTATATTATAATATTATTAATAATAGTTATTAATTAAGGGTAAAGTTATAACAAAATTAAGATTATTAAGTAATCTTAGATAAATAGTAATGGAGGATTACCACAATCTTTTATTACTTGACAATTAAATATGGTAATGACAATAATATAAGATTGCACTCCTGGAGTAATATGAGATTCTCCTCAACTAAACCCACCTTAAGGCTAATAACCCTTAATTCTCCCGGGGTATTGTAAAATAACAAAATTTCCCCTAAAAAATCGAAAATAATAGAATTTTATCTGCCCTTAAGTATTAGATATTAAAATAAAGAGTATGAGAACAATTTTTTAATATTAACTCATAACACAATATATTTTAATAATTCACTAACAGATTATAAACAATAGGGGGTTTTTGTCATTTAAAAAAATAATGGGGGACTTTGTTATTCTGTTATACCTTAGAGGGTCTGCTTCCAGCTCTTCCTGTTATTTAATTATATAGAAGGGGAATAAAAATCTTCTTACCATTGAGATTTTTATGTCAAGAAACAAAAAATCATAGAAGAACAATCCGTTAATTTTTTATTCTCATGATATATTAAACTCGAATGGATCACTAACGTTTGACCAAGGCAAAGAGATTTGTGTTGTTTTTGAAATCTCAAAGAGAATTTTATAATTTGACCAAACCTCAAAGGGGGTCAAGGTCAATTCCTCTGTTATATGTATCAAGTTGATATATTAATTGATGCTATTAATAACGTATTAATATTATATTAATTAGAGAAAAAAAAAATTAATCACATTAACCTATGACTAATATGATACTTATACATCATCAATGACATCACTTTTGTACATATAGTATTATTACTAGTTACATCTATATACATATGTTATATGTATGTATATCAATGGGTATTACGTGTGCATTTGCTATAACTCATTAGAGTAGAGATTATTAAAGAATAGATTATGAAAACAAGCTTTCATGACAAATTTGTTAGTTGCTTGGTTAACAAAATGTAAAAGATTTTTTTAGTACGAGAATTAATCAAATTAAATTTATAACATAGAATTTGACATTTTTGAAATTTTAATATTTTAAATATTTAGCGTGTTTGGTTAGGCCTATCCATGAGTTAAAAAAGCTTATTTAAAGTTATAAATATTTTTGAATTTGTTTTATGTTGTTTGTTTGTATTTCAAAAGTGCTTATAAGATTATATAAATAAGTTATTTTACGACTAATCTTCTCGCATAAGCTTTTTGAACTTATTTAAAATGCTAAAATTTTAAAAATATCCCTATTTTATTTATAAATTTGACTTGATCTATTATTATATATTGAAAGCTTATTTGATAAATTAATACTAAAAAACTCTTTCATGTAATCCTAACCAAACAAGTAATAAAATTTTCCCCAAAGTTACTCTAATAAACTTTTCTTTTGTTAGCTCTACTTAAAGAAGTCGTACCCTGAGCACTTTTGGAAATCAAACAACCTAAAAAAACCAAAATTGTTTATGACTTTAAATAAACTCTTTTGGCCGATAGATAAGCCCAACCAAACAGGATATGCATCTAATAGATAGAGAAAATTGGATGATCAACTCCTAAATCATTGATCCATCTATATTAATGGTTTTAATTGTGAATATCATTTTATTTCTTTAATACTACTTTTAAGATAAATAATTGATTTAGAGATGATAAAACTCTACTATAAAAGAGAGAGAAACAAGTTTAGAGATGGTGAGCAAGAATTGAAGTGATAGAGAAAACAAAAAGAAATTTTGGAAGAAAACAGAAGTAGAAAAAGGGTATTTTAATAATAATAAAAAATATTATTGTAGATAGAATAAAGTACTTAAATAAATTTTATTTATAAATGGGACTTACAAAAAAATTTAGTGGGGCTTAAATAACATCACTTGGAGTTTAAATCAAATTTTAGGTACAACTTATTTGAGTTGAGCTTTTAAAAGAAGAGTTTATTGAAATAGAGCTTATGAAAATATAACTTTCATGAAATAGTTGATAGTTGTTTGACAAGGAAAATTTAGAAGAATTTTCTAGTTTGAATTTACTAAAAAGGCCTTCAATACACACAAATAAATCAAGTCAATTTTATGAAATAAAACAAGGATATTTTAAAATTTTTATTACTTTAAAAAAGAGTTTATGGGAGAAGCTAACCCTAAAATAATTTATTTCAAATTCTATAAACACTTGTAAAATGCACTTTTGAAGTTTTTTTAGGTTATTTGGTAACATTTCAAAAGTATTTATAAGATTTAAAATAAATTATTTTACAGTTTATGCCAAAACTCTTTTTTGGTTTACGTAAAGTGTAAAAATTTCATAAACATTAATTTGTAATATGTCATAGGAAGATTGTTGGGCCCATAGAGACATTACAGGACCAACTTGAAAGCCCATTAGCACCCACCAAAATCTCCAAAACCCTAGCCGCCCCACCACTTAAATTTCCTCTTTCACCTTCCTTCTCTTTCCTCTGCCCTCCAATCAACAACCCCAATCCTCAGACCTCCCAAAAAAATGACGACCAGATTCAAGAAAAACCGCAAGAAGAGGGGCCACGTGAGCGCCGGCCACGGACGAATCGGGAAACACCGGAAACACCCCGGAGGTCGCGGAAACGCCGGAGGCATGCACCACCACCGGATCCTCTTCGACAAGTACCACCCGGGGTATTTTGGTAAAGTGGGTATGAGGTATTTCCACAAGCTCCGCAACAAGTTCTACTGCCCCATAGTCAATATAGACAAGCTCTGGTCGATGGTTCCGGAAGATGTGAAAGAGAAGGCGGACAAAGACAATGTTCCATTGATTGATGTCACGCAGTTCGGTTACTTTAAGGTTTTGGGGAAAGGGGTTTTGCCGGAGAACAAGCCGGTCGTCGTCAAGGCGAAGCTGGTGTCGAAGACAGCTGAGAAGAAGATTAAGGAGGCTGGTGGCGCGGTGGTTCTTACTGCTTAGGGGTATTTTGATAATTTTCATTTCCCTTAATTGTGTTGGGACTTCTAGATTAAAGATTTTGATATAATGTTGTTTTAATCTTAGTTTGATTTCTATATGATATTTTTCCATGATCTTAGAAGAAGATTTTGATAGAAGATCATTTCATGAATATAAATATTTCTTGCTTGTTATCTGGATTATATTTGTGGTGACATAATAATTCATATATTTTAGGAAATGATTTTTGGAATAAAGAAAAGGTAAGAAGACATAAAATCTGGTAATTTATAATATTCCAACATCACTTTAATGTTAGGAAAAACATCATTCCACAAAATCTGACAATTAATAGCGTGTCGACACATCTGCAATTACAAAAAAATCTAGAATACATCCGGTATCACATCATCCATACCACTGACTAATGCATTTATACCATGAACCAATATATTGTCTCTCTTCGGTGTAGTTATTAATTTTTACTATAATTTGGTCCGAGTCATGGTTGACGTGGTACCATAGATCTTCTCCTGAAACTGGTTACAGTCTTCTATTGGGATATGAAGATGATATCTTAGCTTTATAAGCAATCTGTTATGTATTATATGCTTGTTTGAAACTTTTGACAGAAAATCTTAGTCTTGATGGAAATTCATAATGTATGTTAAGAGAAATTTTAATTATGGATAAGTATTGACACCAATACCATTTTTAATTCATTTATAAGTTATAATCTACTATCTAGCCAGCAATTGCTTATAATTTTATTTGGCAGTCGAATTTAGATGTGAAACACTCATCCCATTATAATAAGTTCATAACATAAGATACATAAAGTCACACTTGTCAATATAACTGCGATCACTTACATAATAAGCCTCTATACATGCTTCAAAATATCTGACATTAAACACATGTAATCCAATTTCGTTTAGTAAATATTAGAACGATTCTGCTGATCTACCAAATATTAGAAATAGGAGCAACACAGCAAGCTTCATTTCTGCTTTCTAGAATTAGGGTTATCCTTCCTTTTAGTGCCTAATTCTGCGGCACACTTGGAGGCCATGTCCATTGCACTAGACAACCAATATGCACCTTTGGTTACATAATCATTGTTAACTATTTTAGAACCAACATGTTCTGCAGCCGGCTTAGCTGCGGAAACCAGTGATTTTGTCCTCTCAATCATAGCTCTACCTTTCTCTGAGAGCTTGTAGTTTTCCTCTACCTCCTCTCTGGTTTTGTTCAACACTTCAACCCCTTTTGAAGCAATAGCTTGCATTTCAGCATGTATTACTGGAATAAATCCTTGGTTTTCGCCCTTCCGTACAAATATGGAACTCATTATTTATGCCTTGTTTAGAAGAGCTGAAGTTTATTGAAATTACTTTTATAGAATCATAGGAAACATAGAGTTGTTTGCAATTGAATCACAAATCAACAGAGCATGCACCGATTTTTTGTTGGCTTATAAAATATTTCCAAAGCATGATTGTGCACACAAAATACATTTTGATGGATATCACTGTTACTCTGTTAAGATATATTGCCTTACCTTATATCGATAGATTACCTTGTGTACATTTTAATTTTCTTGTATACTCAAAATTTTCTTTTCTGTATTACTTTACACTCATTTAGTGTAATTCATAGTTCAGTTCAATACTAGTCTAATCGATGTTCAACCCTGCTTTCTCCTATTGTAGCCTATTTTCTAACATGGTATTAGAACTTCGTTGTGCTCTCTCTTGATAGATTTATTTGGAACAGTTTTTTCTATCATGGTATCAGAGTAGAGAATAACACTTTTTTCTCCATTTTTCTTGGCATTGAATAATTTATATTATCAGTTACGGTTGAAAACTCAGAGATTAGTAAGTGAAGAACTCTGTTTGCACGAACTGAGAAAATTGCAGAACCAAATAAATTATAATGACCAGTTCAAGAATTAGAAAGAGATGATAAATATTAATTTCTATGAGATTGATATAACTTAAGAAGACAATCTAATTCTAATGCAGCAACAACTTGAAAGTGTTTTCTCCTCTATCTTGTATTGTTAAAGAGAGCAGCATACCTTCTTGGTCTCATTAGTCAGATTGTTTGGACTGGGAGGATTTTCTGAATCCTTTGCAGGCAAGATGCGAATTATTTGCCCACCAAAAGCAGCTTCCTGAAAACAAGTGAAACAAACATTACTGAGATTACCACACAGATAAAGATCAATTCAGTAGAGAATCTTGATTGTAAGACAATAAGACTGATCCTTTCTTGCTTACATCAAGGAGAAGGGCAGTTTGAAATGCATATGGCTGTGCGAATGTCACCAAAGCCGTCTGTGATTTGTCTTTATTTCTGCGAGAATATGATCAAATAAATAAACAGTTCGACTCTTGTGAATGTCCCAACTTTTCCAAAATCCAGACTTTAACTCCCGCTAGCAAGAGTTTATCTTGTTAGCTATAGTTTGAGTCCAGATTTTTGCATTAATGAAAGTTATGTTTACCTATAGAGCTGGATTTTGTTGACAGTTCCACAATGTGAGAAGAAGGTATTGAGTTCTTGAGGAGTAACCCTGGAGGAAATCCTGGAAACCTGAACGGTTAAATTCAGAGGATGCATTATGAGTAAATTTTCTCGATTGATCGGTACCCATTCTATGTAGCCTTCCATCGATTTTGATGCACAAGAATCTGAAGCAGATAACCAAAAGATGAATAATTTTACAGATGGATAAATAAAGGGGCTTAGAATTTATTCTCCTTTCACTAAAGTTGCCAGAAAAATTGTTCGCGATATTCCAGATAACTACTGGCCAAAGAACACTAAATATTCCAGCTTATCTATCAAGCCTAACTACATTAAGTTAATATATACCAGTTGAAAATATGATGCCAAACTTTCCAGCACTGTAATGTCTGCTTTGGAAGGAATGTCATGTAAAATATCAATTTGGATGCTGACATGTGATAAGTCACGAAATTGATAAAAAAAATTTATATATATATACAACACTAAATGACAGAAGTCCTCTGAAATTTTGTGGTTGATAAATTGTAAAATTTTATCTTTTAGTCTTTATTAATATATTTTCTAGCGTCACTGTGGATGCATTTGAGAATTCTCGTGTACGTGTACTAGTTTTGGCATATTTAGTTGCTTAAAAAGCTCCTCAAGATCACCTTCTTCAAGTCTATTATCAGCAACAGAACATGAAATGCCATTAAGCACACTAACCGTCATTCTTGTCAATGGCAACCAAGAAAAGAGGAAAAAAAGCGGTGTTTTAAAACCCGACCCGGTCGGTTGAACTGGTTCAAGCGGGACTTGGGACACCGGGCCAGGTTAACAATTTTCCTATTTCCTAAAACCCTAGAATTTGGGATGATGATCGACAAACAATTGAAGGTTGGGATGTTGGGGCTGTTGAAGAGAAAGTGCCGACGAGTGCAACGGTGGCGATGGAAGTGATTTCTGGTGAGTTAATCGACTGGAAATAAAAAAAAAAACTGGTGGCGGCAATAGCTGGCTTTTGTTGGCAATTGGCAAGGTGAACGAGGGTAGGGTAAGATGAGTTTTGGTCAGGAGACCGAGGGGAGTATTTTCGTGGTAATGGGGAGGGTTGTTGACACCAACGGTGGTGAGATCTGGCCGAAATCGGTCGGTTTCAACTAGATATTGAGTAGATTTTCGAAGGAATGAGCTCAAGGGATGATTGAAATTGTATTTGGTGTGTTGTTGCTGCCAACCGGTGGACCGACGTTTTGTATTTGAGGTGTGTTTGCTAAATTTCAAACTTATAGGGACTTAAAAAATTTTTAGGGGTTCATTTGCTAAATTTTAAACTTTTTGATATAGTCGGTCAAACTAGTTAAACTGGTCAAGCAAGTTGTCGCGTTTCACCCAGATTCGTTATTAAAACATTGAAAAAAAGATCAGACAAATATCAAAATTCACAAAACTAAAAATAATGAGCATCATACGGTAATAAGCTTTTAAAGAGTACAAACTACCTAAACAATAGTCGAAAACCGTTGATCAGAGATGGCAAGCATGGCATAGCCTGATCGAAGGCAATCCAATCCATTATTGGTTGCATGCCAGGTTGTGTCACGGTCAAGAATACGTTTGCCGACTCAGTTGGGCTCGTTTGCCGGGCCAAGCAGTAACGTACTTAACCGTGACATGACCCATCATGCAGCTCATTATAGGTTGCCTCCAAACGGTCGTGCTGGCACGATACGACCCATTGATGCAAAAACAATAATACAAGATGTTATAGGGAGGTTATTACTAACCACGCTTATGGTTTTATTAATTAACGGATATATGCTTGGTTTCGTGCATATATCCGTACACCTGAATATATATTTTTCATGTTTATCATGAGTAGGGAATTCATCGTTTAAAAATGAGTAATATTAGCTTTACAAAGAGATATACAAAAAGCCATATAAAGAGTCAAATCCAACCCTTGAAAGAAGAGAAAAAGAGAGAGAGAAAGAGACAATCATGAATTTCAAGGGCTGGATTTGACTCTTTGTATGGCTCTTTGTATGTCTCTTTGTAAGACTAATATTACTCTTTAAAAATTGGAGTGTTTTTAAAACTAAGGGGTGGATTTTTCTCCTAACCATTCACCTGAATAGATATTTTTTCAATCCCTATGTTTTAAAACCTAACAATGTCACCCCTAATGATTAACAATCTAGAAATGTAAATAAAAAGCTTAGATAAGCACAGGAAATACATAAAATTTAATCCACAAAATAGAGAAAAAAGTTCTCGCAGTTGTAGTTGAGAACACGTTGAAAACCAAGAAAAAGCTGAATGTGCAAATAGATTTTTAACTTTTAAGAAACAAAATTGATCTAATCACTGGTTTTGTGTTTCTCCATATGAACGCCTTGTTCGGCGATGGGCGGCTCTTTATGCTAGTGGAGTGGAGGATGGGAACAGGATTGCAGGTGACCATTCCCTTAGCCTTCAAGTCACGTTATGGAGGGTTTAAAACTTTTTTTCCTGTACTAAAGCCCCTCACAGTTTATTATGATTTCTTTGCCACCCTTTAGAAGACTAAAAACTCCTACTTATAATTTTTGTCTTTATTACCCTACTAGACATGGGACCCGTGCGTTACGCGGGTATGTTTATTCAATGTTTTTTAAATAGATTGTAAACAAATTTATTCTAACAAAATAAAAATAATTAGTTTAAAACATAATAAATGTTAAATTATACAAATTTTAAAGTAAATATAAATTGTATATATATACAAAGTTGTGTTAAGATAAAATTAATAATTGTACTTATATAATTATTAATATCAATTATAGGTAAATGTTATTAAATCATTCATCAAACTTGAGAAGATTACCTGAATATTATAGGATCTAATTATATTTTCAAGATCGTCACCTTGTACAATTGATATTATTTTTGCAGACATATCTTTGATATTCGATGTTAGTATTTTGTAGTGAATCATGTATGATATTTAATATCACCTAAATATTATCAAGATCAAATATTTAAACTTAAAATTTATATTGACCTTCCGCAATTTCTGTAACTTATATTCATTTTCAAGTTGCGTTGCGTGGGTATGTTTATTATATATTTTTTTTCACATTATTATTGGTTTTTTATGTTTTAAATATATATTTTTTTATATTGAAGTTCATTTTATATTGAATTGACAATTAAAAAATCAATAAATAAAATTTTCACAAATTAACTCAAAGTTTATATCATCATGGTTCTTCTCAAATATGTTACCATTTGACATTTGCTACCAAAGTTTAAAACTTTGTCAAGAAAAGCAAAAAAAAATTGCAGCATAACCCACTGGGTATTATTGACAAGTCTATAAATTAATCAAAGAAAGAGAAACCATATTGAAAAATGAGAACTTTTAGGGAAGAGACTTGCAGAGCCAAATGAAAAAAATGGTTTTGATTGTTGAGAAGAGAAAATGAATTATTATTATTATTATTTTAGAAATAAAAAAACAATTAAGAATGTTAAGAAGAGAACTCACATAGAAAGCAACAACAACTCCAATAGTATAATCTGAAGGCAACTTAACTGAAGCATTGAAGAAGCCATGAAGATAAAGGTCTTGTGACACAAATCCATTTGCTGCAATTAGAATTGACCATCACCTATAGCAAAAAAAACATTTGATGATAGCATCCTAAAGAAAGACGATAATTATAAAACCCACAAATCAAACAACAAAATCAATCCAAAAATCAACAAAAAGAGATAGAACAAATATAATTAAAACTACATATCAGTATTTGTTTTTCTTTGTCATCACTAAAATCGAATTCGTTTTATGTGTGTGATGATAAAATGAATGGTTTGGCAGTAGATCTATAGTTATCCTAATTCATCATATAATAAATCAAATTAAAACTCTATCTTTCTAGTTTCCAAAGATTCAAACCTCTCATCAATTGGATTTTTATTGAGCAAGTTATGACTAATTTATTACTGACTGTTCAGTGAAAATCGAGAAACAGGGGAAACCAAAATGTATGTGATGATAAAAGGAATGGTTCGACAGTGGGGCTACAGTTATCCAAATTAAGCGTATAGTCTGTCTAGTTTCTAAATGTTCAAACCTCTCATCAATTGAATTTTTATTGAGCAAGTTATGGTCAATTTACTACTGACTGTTAAGTAGAAACCAAAATATGTGTGATGATAAAAAGAATAGTTCGGAAGTGGAGCTAAAATTATCCAAATTAAGCTTATGATATATCAAATTAAAGACCTATCTATATAATTTTTAAATATTCAAACCTCCCATCAATTGGATTTTTATTGAGAAAGTTATAGTCAATTGACTACCAACTGTTCAGTGGAAACTGAAATGTCTGTGATGATAAAAGAAATTGTTTGATAGTAGGGCTACAATTATCCAAATTAAGCATATAATATATCAAATTAAAGCCCTATCTGTCTAGTTTCTAAAGATTTAAACCTCTCATCAATTTGATTTTATTGAGCAAGTTATGGTCAATTAACTACTAATTGTTTAGTGAAAACCTAAATGTATATGATGATAAAATGAATGGTTTACTAAAGCTACATGGTTTAGCATCAAACATCAGTTGATATTTGTTAAATAAATGAAATTAGTTATATTCAGCAACAAACTCTTTTCATGATATATGTATGTAACATAAAAGATGTCATCAAAAAGAGATAGAATAATTACAATTAAAACTACATATCAATATTTGTTTTCCTTTAAGGATAATAATAATGGTTCGACATATTATAAATGATTTACTAAAGCTACATGGTTTGACAACAAACATCATATGATATTTGTGATACAAATAAAATTTGTTATATTCAGCAACAACTTGTTTTTGATATATGTATGTAACATAAGAAAATATCAACAAAAAGAGATAGAACAAATATAATTAAAACTACATATCAATATTTGTTTTCCTTTGTCATCACCAAAATTGAATTAGTTTTATGTGTATGATGATAAAATAAATGGTTCGGCCGTAGGTCTATAGTTATCCAAATTCTTTGTATAATATATTAAATTAAAGCTCTATCTTTTTAGTTTTCAAAGATTCAAACCGCTCATCAATTGGATTTTTGTTGAATAAGTTATGGCCAATTTACTACTGATTGTTCAGTAAAAATCGAAAAATAGGAAAAACCAAAATGTGTGTGATGATAAAATGAATGGTTTGAGAGTGA